TTTGTTATACAAAGAAATAAAATGGTTACAACTTTTGAAAAACTCAAAAAGTTTCAACACAGATACACAGAACTGTAAATGCTCGATACGGGAACACCTTGTGGTACGACAGATGATAATAATGTAGTCAAGCTCTTGCTAGACTTTGAAAAGTGTGTCCAGGTCTGTTGTTTCGATAGCATTGGTAATACTAAATCTCAAGTATGCTATCTGATATTGGTGGTATGTACGCCTTATCTTTGATGTATCCCCACAAGAAAAAAATCAGGGGGTGATGTCCGGAGATCTTGTAGGCCAGTTCAGGGGTGTGTCATTATTCGGACCACCGAGCTCGTTCCATATCTCAGGCAGCACATTGTTAAGTTCAGCCCTACTACAAGTAACATTCAAATGCAGCCATTTCTCTTTAAATATTTAAGTGTCACTTGCCAATATAGTGGTTACTAGGAGGATAATCGTTAAACCTGGTTGATTGGTTAATGTAATATTCCAACTGGCAAAAAGCTTTCCTGCCTTCAAATTCAGCCATTACACAACACTTACAACAATTGACTTGACAAACAGCTGATATGCACCCAAACCAATGTAAATGAAACTTTATGAGTTTTTCTTTCCAATGGTACCAACTAAAATAGTCTTGAAACAAATTAACCCAGTAATATTTATAATCAAAATCAGGAACATCATTTGTAATAACCCTGTATATAGAAGTCCAATAAACATGGAAAATTAGAAAATAGTAGTTTTCATTACACTGTCTCAAAAACAGTTTTAACAGTCTAAAGATAGTTTTTTGCGGTCCGTGAAATTTTACAGACTGGAATCATTATGTCAAAGCTTATCTCAAAAACAAATCAGCTGTTCTGATCCTAATGCTTCAACAATAAATACTTTGTTTGTTCCTTGTTTTTGAGACAGTATAATGAAAATACCCCCGCCGCAGCAAACCTGCAGACTAAGCGAATTTCCATTTGCCTGATTGGATTTAGACTAAAATGTCTCCTTAAAAATATCACATTTATTCCCTATTTAAATATAATCAGTTTAACACATACTTAGGTTTGCTGCAAAAGGGAGGGTAAAAGTGTTTTTTTATGTAAAATGTTAATAGTTAGTAAGAAATAAAAACATTTTCCAAATTTGGGCAAAATATGTTAATAAACAAGCACACTACAACGGTTTACTTATTCTCCATAAAAATAACATGGGAATTTTAAATTAACAATTTTTTGGAATTTTCTCCGTAACCATTAGGCGCATTATAACGCTTCAATATACTAAATTATTTGTTTTTTTAAGCTCTACAAAATAGTTTGGAAAGAAATTGCAAAATTTGATGTTTTTTGGGTCAAAAATGGGAAAAACCCATTTTTACCCCATAAAACCCCCCATAAACCCCCGTTCCCATTGTCCGATCATGCTGGTTCGCGAACTCGTTCGAATAAAGGTAGGTTTACACGTTTGTACCAAATTTAATCAAAATCGAATCATTTTTGCTCGAGTTATCGCGCTAACGGACACATATATATATATATATATATATATATAAATATACTAGCTGACCCGGCGAACTTCGTATCGCCTAAGTTATAGGTTTCCCCTAAGACAGACCGATGGAAAGAAAGTACCGTTACGTTTAATTTTCAAGATGATCTCGTTCGCATCGCTCAATCACGTCCTGGTTGAAGTTCGTTCGCTACGCTCACTCACCTTTGGGTTGGAGCTCGTTCGCTACGCTCACTCACCTTTGGGTTGGAGCTCGTTCGCTGCGCTCACTTGCCTTCAGGTTAGCTCGTTCGCTACGCTAACTCGCCTCCAGGTTGAAGTTCGTTCGCTACGCTCACTCACCTTTTGGTTGCAAATTAGCTGTTGTCATAAATGTAAAAGAAATAATAGTGCTGCACCCTGTTGGTAATCCTTGTAACTTTAATGCTATTGAACATCATAGAACAGAACCAACTTGTTTAATTGAAACAGCTGTTAAGATTCATTAATTCCATTTAAGGTTAACATGGGAAACTCCAGAGCCACTGGGGCGGAGCCCTTTTAAGAATTTCGAAACGGGAAATAGTTTACGTCCGATTCGCATACCTACAGAATTTACACACCAAATTTCATAACGATCGGTGAAGTCGTTCCGGAGGAGTTTGCAGACAAACACTGTGACACGAGAATTTTATATATTAGATATATAAATATATATACATATATGAATTTGAACGGATGGTGTTTTTGGCCTCTAGGGACCTCAAAACGAAAAAAAAAAATCGGTCCCGGGTCCAGGTCTTACCATGAGTACTATGGTAATAGCTTATTCCCTATATGGGAAATTCGCTAAAAAAAATATTGTACACTACAAATTGAACAGCTTTATATTCTACGATGTATGGTATTATAAATATTCAAATAGAGATTGGATAAAGAATCCTTTTTGTTTCATTCTTTTGGATAGATATGCCTGTTATCAAAAAAACAACAAAGTTCGTCAACATCCAGTGAGAATGTGCCAAGGCTGTCAACCTCGTGGCTAAAGTTTTTACAGTTTTTGTTGATACACGTAACCGAAAATACTGCCTCCCCATCACTCACTACCAACGAGCACATTGATCACTACCCGCTTTACAATTTTTTCTTAAATGCAAATGGATTATTTCTATACCAGTTCCATTTTTAATCAAATACGACTGTAGAATGAGTTAATACGAATTTTAAATTTAGTAAGAATTTTAAATACTTAAATACTTAAATATTTCATTTTAAATACATGAGTTTGACTGCTATTGTTAAGATCTGCCGCAGCGAAAAAACAGTGGATGTCGTAAGTTGGTAAATACCTGTTCTCAAAAATGAAGAAGAGATATTCATTCTTGATTCTGAAGAGGTATCTCAGAGACTGCTAGGCAGATCAACCATACCTTAGAATTGAGGCACGAATATAACGCCAACAACATTCATTGGTGTCAGGAGCTGGATTAAGTATTTACTGGGTAAACTTTAAGTTTTTATACTGATGCCTTTTGTTTGAGCGCGTAAAACACACACCAGCAGTCAGTTATGGCTAGCTCTGGTTTGATTGGCCAATACAAGTTTCAGCAGAGTCTTTCCGGTGGGTACCGTACAGTCAGGTACTGGGATGAAGAACCTCACATTGACAACTCGCACAGCCCCGCCAAGCACTGTGCTTTCACAAACCTGCTTCGAATGTACTTACGTTACCTTGGCCTCACCAATCTCAACAGCACAACCCGGCCCACCGATTTTGTTTGGTTCTGCCTATTGTGAGCAAGTAAAGCAAAGGTGAGTCGGTGGCTAAGTTGGTAGCGTCACGGACTTTGGGTTCAAGACAGCAATGTCGAGGGTTCGGATCCTGGTCACTGCCGCAAACATTTTATTAGTACAGTTCACCTTTGTACTGTATTAACTCATCCCTTTCTTTGCTGAATACGTTCCACGAACAGGCAGTTAGTCTATGTGGACAGGCTAATTAAAGGTTAAAAGAGGCTGCCAACCTCTTTGAAAATAAACGGTATCAGCATTCTGACACATACTTTCTCCCATAAGTTTGTCAACAATCTTTATCATGTGTAAGCGGTGAGAGTAAATATACGGAAATGGGATTTGTAAGATTTTCTTCAGAATTTAAAGGACTATAACATACTAAATTTTTATCAAAATCGTTCGAGCCAATATTGGGAAAATATGATTTTCCGTTATTTTATGGGGTTTTTATGGGGAAATAACATAATTTACAATAACTTTTGAACCGTAATTTTTACAGAGATGGTATTTGTACCATTTTGTTCAGAATATAAAGGACTATAACATACTAAATTTTTATCGAAATCGTTCAGGCCATTTCTGGGAAAATCGTTTTTTTTTCCGTCATTTTATGGGGTTTTATGGGAAAATACCCATTAAAAATAGAAATTTCTAAGAAATGAGAAAAACTATCAAAATTGTAAGGATCATAACATACTATGTTAAATAAAATCGGATTTTTTTGTCTAAAATCATATTTTTCGTTATTTTATGGGATTTTTATGGGAAAATAACATAATTTACCATAACTTTTGAACCGTAATTTTTACAGAAATGGGATTTGTACCATTTTGTTCAGAATTTAAAGGGCTACAACATACTAAATTTTTATCAAAATCGTTCGGGCCATTTTTGAGAAAATCCGATTTTTCATGTTTTTTATGGGTTTTTATGGGAAAATCCCCATTAAAAATCAAAATTTCAAAAAAATGAAAAAAACGCCTGGAGATACCATGGATTAGAACCTACATACCAAATTTCATCGAAATCGGACCACAGGTGTAGTCTCTAGCTCTGTACACATCCAGACACACAGACACACAGACACACAGACACACAGACACACACACACACACACACACAGACATCACTTCGAAAACCACTTTTTTGGGTCCAGGGGGACCCAAAACGAATATATCCACTCAAAACTCAAACTCGAAAATTTTGACGAAAACAATACTTTCTCTATATACTATGGTATAGGGGGAGAAAGTAAAAAGAGAAAAAACCCTGGTGAACACTAAACCAATATCCTGCTGTATGTAGAAGATGCATTGTAAATTACCACTGTAATTACTTGTTAAGTAATTTACCACCTTAAATTACTTTGGACCAGCCAAAAACTTGACTTACTCAATTCTCTTCAAGTTGCTTTGAGTCTTTTCCTGTTTTCTGGAAAGAAACTTGTCCGTTGGAGCAAAGCTCCTGTTCCGTCAAACAATTGCTTCTAAAATGTAAATTGTCAATACATAGAATGTAAAATGACCGATTAAAATATTGTGTCATATCTTATGTCTTAGGTCTTATGTCCTATTCTGGCTACATCAATTCAAACGGTATGATTATCATATCAAATCAAATTGTTTATCTGTTGTCAGTTGTTGTCTATTTTTTTAAATTTAAGTTTTACAACTATATATGCAAAGGATTGTAACACCAGGGAGTAATGAAAATACTTTGTATCAAGATGGCAAAATTTTATCAAAGTCTAATTCGTTAAATGCGGTGTTGAATATCTCGGTGAAAGCCGTAGAGACAAGATCATTGATAAGAGGTCTCAGTACTGGGAAGCCAGCTCTCCATGTGGCATTGATGATGCGGTCCAGCACATTCTCTGCAACATGCGTAAAAAGAGTTGAAACATAAATATGAGCATAAATGTATGTTATTTCTTACTCCAGACGTATTTTGATACATTGTTATTCAAGTCTGTGGCAAGTAAAAATTTGATCACGAGAACAAACAGCTGTTAAACACGCACATCCATTAAAAACCAAATTGAAACTTTGAAAAATATGACTAAATATGAGACATGCTAGTTAATACTAGCCCCTAGTACAAACTACGTCTTGCAGGTGAATAAAATGCTAGTTCTTACTACCCCTAGTACATACTTCGTCATTTAGGGAACGTAGTATCTACTAGGCTTTTTCAATTAATTAAACCGGCCCTCATAGTAGTTACTTCATTTTTATGTACTATGCTCATGGACATGCTTCATTTTGGTCGTTTGCGAAGATGGCGATGTTTATACAAGAGTCCATAACAGGAAAATGTACCTTGAAATAAAAAACATTGGTAACTGTAAGCAATTACTGTGATTTGAGAATGATATTGTTGATTTGTTTACCAACAAGTTTTTTTTCCTTCTCATTTCCTCCTATCAGATCTCAATTGCTTCTCTAAGCTTAGTTGGTGTATTTTCCTAAACAATTCTCTCGGTTTTTTTCCTCATCAAATTTTTCATTCTATCTACTAACTTTTTGAGTTTAACTAGATTAAAATCCTTAATCCTTAAACCAAGAGTTTTGTTGTATCATCTAACAGTTTCAACCTCCCACTATTTCCCCCTTTACCACGCCCGGAATTTTGGATTTCTCAAAGTATAATTGAAATGTTTTTTTTGCAGCTTCATAAAGCCCTATCACCCCCTTGTAAAACTTGGTCAACGCCATCAAAATCGTCGTCAAGCGCAGTTGTGCCTTCATTATGAGTATGTACTAGGGGGTAGTACGTACTTAGAGGGTAGTACATACTACATCATTTAGGGAACCGCTAGTACTTACTACATAGTTCTAGCTAATTCTTATTCACATAGATTTGAGCAAGTGCTAGAACTACATACTGTAGTACAAACTACATCTCTATTATCATCAACTTTTTAAATAACAAATAATATGAAGTACGAACTACGTAGTATGTCCTAGTTTTTATTCACTTCACCCAATAAATATATAATATTGTTTCATATAACTTTTGTTGAAGCTGTAGTTGATTCATTCTACAACAAATAATTTTGATAGAGACACAGATCAAGGCCCCACTAAAAAAACAGGCCATGCTGCAGGATCCATGACGTCACACTAGTGGATGGATTTTTTGACAAATTCACTGCAATATCCCATATGCTTTAGGTAAATAAGCTGGCTTTTTGTAAGATTTGAACGATAAGATTTCAGTACAACTATCCACCACTGTGACGTAGTGTTGCTCTGCCCGCACTGCAGCATGGCCTGTTTTTCTAGTGGGACCTTGGTTACATGCTAGTGAATGTAATAAGTCAAACTATTCTGATTTGTTTATGTTTACCCATGATTCGTCGCCCGCGCAGTAGATTGCTGATGTGGAGGTCGAGGTTCCCGATCCTCTGGACGTCCACTCGCACCTTCAGCTTGTCAGCTCCCTGGGGCCTGCTGATGGTTGTCGTCTGCACCAGATTGTCTGAAATCACCATCTTAGTCGTAATTCAAAAGTATCTCAATGATTGATAATTGATAATTGACCGTTGGGAACATACTTTCGTAAAAACGTTATGTTGAATGGCCCGAGTTGGAAGTTATACAGTTTTGATATTACAAACAGTATCGTGGCAAGAAGTTGCCTAAAGGGAGTATCACGGTTGGTACCGCAGTGAGGCGCTGCCTAACACTCCTGACATAACGCACTTTGACACCCTCTTGCACCCTTCCACCTTGCACCTTGCACCTCTGCACAAAATATAATAAATATTCATGGAATAGTATGTAAGGAAAGGAGGAGTCAAATAATCATTTGATAATAGGTAATCAGTTGAGATGGGGACGCCATCTAGGTGTATATTTTAATCTAAATATGAGTGAAGGATGAGTGTAGAATGGAGTGAGATGATCTTTATAGCTTTGTTGCCGACTAAGATCAGCTGTTCCAATAGGATCATTTTACTAGGTGGCGTTCGCAGAGGCATCCACAAAATTGAGCGGAGTCATCATATTATGTTCATATTATATTGTTTTTGTCATTCTGTAGTAAAAACAGTCGTTTTTAATTCATGCGTTGCGGGTCTAAAGTAGCATTTTTACTCTTTATGGAGTAAAAATCTTGTTTAGCCTCTATGCAGTAAAAATCAGCTGTTGTCAACTCAGTTGTAAATTACAATTGTAAACCATTGCATGTATCGAAATATGTATCGATTCGTGCTTCGTAATAATTTTAACCTACAGTCTACAGTCTCTTCCCATAGTATTTTAGCATTGCAGATACATTAATCCATTCCCGCACTCAACACTGCTCACCTTTACTACTTCCTTCACCACCCCCTACGTCGTGGACCTGTTTCCCTCTCTTCCCATAGCATTTTAGGATTGTAGATACATTAATGTAATTGCCAAAGACAGTTCCCACACTCTGCACTGCAAGCCTTACTACTTCCTTCACCATTTCCTACGTCATAGACCTGTTTCCTTCCCTTCTCATAGCATTTACGTATTATGTACATTTATCTAACTGCCCAAACGGTTCCCCCACTCTGAACTGTCAGCCTTTACTACTTCCTTCACCACTTCCTACGTCGTGGGGCCCGTTTCCTTCCCTTCTCGTAGCATTTTAGGATTGAAGATACTTTAATCTAACTGCTACAGATGGTTCTCACACTATGCTCATACTTTACTACTTCCTAAGCCACTTCCTACATCGTGGACCTGTTTTCATCACTTTCCATAGCATTTTAGTATTTTAGATACGTCAATCTAATTGCCACAGACATTGCCAACACTCCGCACTGCTAGCCTTTACTACTTCTTTCACCATTTTCTATGTCGTGGGCATGCTTCCATCCCCTTCTCATAGCATTTCAGTATTGCAGATACATTAATCTAACTGCTACAAACGGTTTCCAGTTCCCACACTCCACACTGCTCACCTTACTACTTCCTTCACCTCTTCTTACGTTGCGGACCTGTTTCCCTCTCTTCCCATAGAATTTTAAGATTGTAGATACTTTAATCTAATCGTCATAAACAGTACCCACACTCCGGACAGCTCGCCTTGACTACTTCCTTCACCACTTCCTACATCTAGGACCTGTTTCCCTCCCTTCCCTTAGCATTATTGGATTGCAAATACCTCAATCTATTGGTCATAAGCATATCCCACACTCCGAACAACACGCCTTTACTACTTCCTTCACCACTTCCTACATCACCGACCTGATTCCCTCCCTTTCCATAGCATTTTAGGATTGCAGATATACCTTAATCTAATCGTCATAAACAGTTCCCACACTCCGGACAGCTCGCCCTGACTACTTCCTTCACCACTTCCTACATCTAGGACCTGTTTCCCTCCCTTCCCTTAGCATTATTGGATTGCAAATACCTTAATCTATTGGTCATAAGCATATCCCACACTCCGAACAACACGCCTTTACTACTTCCTTCACCACTTCCTACATCACCGACCTGATACCCTCCCTTTCCATATTATTTTAGGATTGCAGATATACCTTAATCTAATCGTCATAAACAGTTCCGACACTCCGAACAGCTCGCCTTTACTACTTCCTACGTCACCGACCTGTTTCCATCGCTTTCCATAGCATTTTAGGATTGCAGATACATTAATCTAATCGTCATAAACAGAATGACGATTGATATAATTGGTTAATAATTGCTTAATATAATTGTCATAAACATTTACCCCACACTCCGAAAAACTCGCCTTTACTACTTCCTTCATCACTTCCTACGTCACGAACCCGTTTTCCTCCCTTCCCTTAGCATTATTGGATTGCAAATACCTTAATCTATTGGTCATAAACAGATCCCATACTCCGAACAGCTCGCCTTTACTATTTCCTTCACCACCTCCTACGTCACGGACCTGTTTTCTTCCCTTCCAATAGCATTTTAGGATTGCAGATACCTTAATCTAATCGTCATAAACAGTTCCCACACTCGGACAGCTTGCCTTGACTACTTCCTTCACCACTTCCTACGTCGCGGACCCGTTTTCCTCCCTTCCCATAGAATTTTAGGAATGCAGATACCTTAATCGAATCGTCATAAATAGTTCCCACACTCCGGACAGCTCGCCTTGACTACTTCCTTCACCACTTCCTACATCGCGGACCCGTTTTCCTCCCTTCCCATAGAATTTTAGGAATGCAGATACTTAAATCTTATCGTCATAAACAGTTTCCACATTTCGGACAGCTCGCCTTGACTTCTTCCTTCGCCACTTCCTACGTCGCGGACCCGTTTTCCTCCCTTCCCATAGAATTTTAGGAATGTAGATACCCTAATCTAATCTTCATAAACAGTTCCCACACTCCGGACAGCTCGCCTTGACTACTTCATTCACCACTTCCTACGTCGCGGACCCGTTTTCCTCCCTTCCCATAGAATTTTAGGAATGCAGATACTTAATTCTAATCGCCATAATCAGTTTTCACATTCCAGACTGCTCACCTTTACTACTTCCTTCACCACTTCTTACGTCACGGACCTCAAGCTAGTGTCGTCATTTATGTTATATTTATGATCCATACCGCTTCTGTTCTAATATCTGTGGAATAATGCTATCAACTATTTCTTTTCTACTGCATTCAAAAGTCAACAGCTGATCATATGTATTTGTTTATGTGTCAAATACTTCTTCCATAAGGATTACATTGAATCTTTGAGACCCAGTGGGGCAGATTCCTGAGAGACTTTTTAAACGCCATATAGATGTTGGCACTCACCGATATGGTCTTTATCACCATGCAAAATTTGAAAACGATTGATTCAGCCGTCTAGGAGGAGTTTGCGTATTACGAAATGCATAAGAGTCGACGTATAAGAGCTTCGCTCAATTAAGAGCCCTAATGATCAAGGACAGCTCTAGTTTCAAACGATCAAAAAGCTACAAACTTTCTCAGAATTGAACCAGCAACCTATAATTCATGAGCTTTGCAGCTATAGGTGCAGGAATGAAAAGGTTTTCTTAAAAAACCATATTTTGCAAGGTGTGACCTAACAACGCTGATGGCGGGTTATACTTACACAATGTGAGGTTCCATACTCCTCTGTTGTCTGGTGGAGTGATCAGGACTTGGCTGCTAGTCTCGTATTCTCCCTCCAAGGACTTCTCAGGGAAAAACTGAGTGTACTGAACTAGGTTGAGCACTGGGTCACTCCTAGGGCATAAGATGGGATTGTTTAAGACTGTTTTAAAAATGTTTAAGACTGTTATTAATATAAGACTTGTTGTTTATTTTAGGTCAATTTTACTTTCTCCCCCTATACCATAGTAGCCTATATGGAGAAAGTATTGTTTTCGTCAAAATTTTCGAGTTTGAGTTTTGAGTGGATATATTCGTTTTGGGTCCCCATGGACCCAAAAAAGTGGTTTTCGAAGTGATGTCTGTGTGTGTGTGTGTGTGTGTGTGTGTCTGTGTGTCTGGATGTGTACAGAGCTAGAGACCACACCTGTGGTCCGATTTCGATGAAATTTGGTATGTAGGTTCTAATCCATGGTATCTCCAGGTGTTTTTTCATTTTTTTGAAATTTTTATTTTTAATGGGGATTTTCCCATAAAACCCATAAAAAACCGGAAAAATCGGATTTTCTCAAAAATGGCCCGAACGATTTTGATAAAAATTTAGTATGTTGTAGCCCTTTAAATTCTGAATAAAATGGTACAAATTCCATATCTGTAAAAATTACGGTTTAAAAGTTATGGTCAAATATGTTATTTTCCCATAAAAACTCCATAAAATAACAAAAAATTGGATTTTAGAAAAATCCTGTTTTGATTTAACATAGTATGTTATAGTCCTTACAGTTTTGATAGTTTTTTTTTTAATTTTTAAGAAAATTTTTATTTTTAATGGGGATTTTCCCATAAAACCCCATAAAATAACGGAAAAATATGATTTTCCCAAAAATGGCTCGAACGATTTTGATAAAAATTTAGTATGTTATAGTCCTTTATATTCTGAACAAAATGGTGAAAATCCCATTTATTTAAAAATTACGGAAAAATCGGATTTTCACAAAAATGGTCCAAACGATTTTGATAAAAATATAGTATGTTATAGTCATTTACATTCTGAATAAAATTTTACTAATCCCATTTCCGTATATTTACTCTTACCGCTTACACATAATAAAGGTTGTTGACAAACTTATGGGAGAAAGTATGTGTCAGAATGCTGATACCGTTTATTTAAGTCTGTTGTAAACATTCGTTAGGTCATAATATTGATGATGGGCCCAGTTTTAGTCTTATTCATTAGACATTCACAATGAATGATTCTAGTTATGGGACCAGCTAAACTTACACATCAACAAGTTTTGTTTAAGGAAAAGGGTTGGGCCAAGATTTTGATTTTGATTTGTAGATTCTGTTGAGATTTTAGATTGGGTTTCAGATTTTGATTTTGCTGTAAGTCTATAGAAGAGGTCTACTTAAAGTTTCCAAAGTCAATGGTTGAATGTATATTGAATGGTTGTTTATGAACACTGTTACACTCATTACTTTTAGCAAAGATTACATATGCTAACGCAAAATTTTGCGTTAGCATATGTAATCTTTGCTTTTAGTAATAAAACATATGATAAAATTTTCTACATTTTGATACACAGTTAAGAAAAATAACATAGCCATGTTTTAGGTCAACAAACTTTTTGCCAAGCAAATAGTTTTTCTACACTTAATCTAAATTTTTAGTTTCTATTCTGGACATCTTTCATCGATTTCCTCATGGAGCTAAACAGAGACAATTATTGTGAAGAATGTTGGCTGATTGTAAGCAGTGAAAACAAAGGGAATTATATAGAAGAAGTTTCCACAACATTGACATTACCCAATGAGTCAAGGTCTAAAATAGTGGAACAACATCCTGCAAAATCTTCAGAGGCTGAGTTAGCTAGCTTTGAGAAAACCAATAATTTATCTAACGCTGAATCAAGTAATAACATGTCACCAATGTCAAAACTCATCAAAGTTGGGAAAGTATACATATCTCAAACTAATTTACCTACTGAAAGGCTTGTGAAGAAAAACAAAAGGTTCGATGACGATAAATCTTACAAGAGCTATGCAGGAATGTCAACAAAATCGGTCAAGTCTAACTACAGTAAATACACTTCTGCGTCTTTAGTTTCAATTTTAAAGTCAAAATCTGAAATTCTGCATGGTGCTAGACCAAGTGATTCTGATTTGTGTTTAGAATGTCTTGTTCTTGAGTACAGGGACAGTTTCGACACAAATCTGCTAAAGAACGTGTACAGCTCAGTGAAAGAACAACATCAATGCAGAATGATACCTGTGCAAAAGTGTGGGCGAAAAAAGTGTTTGCAGTTGTGCAGCGATTCAGAGTGTCCAAAGTTCAAGTTTTGGAAGATTTTGGATTCCGGTGGCTCTGGATGGAAGGTAGATTTTAATTTTGGAAATTGTATTCCACCGCTAGAGTTGGAGGGTTCCTCATACTTCACCACCTCAAGCGGATTGTGCAGTAAAGAACAGTTGGTGGATCTCTCCGAAGCAGGGCTGAGTGATCGGATAATGGACGAGGTGAGGCCAGACATTGAGATCTCCGAATGGTTCTGTGGCAGTCAAGACTCCACCTCCAGGTACGGATATAAGGTCAGTTTTATATTCTTTAGATTTAATTAATCCACAAGTAATTTTAAATTTTCTCAATGTATATGCAAGTTAAGTCAATTCCATTAACCGTAGGCCTACCAATGTGAGTAATGAGGTTTTAGTGTCACTGGACCCATTAGGTAGATAAACATTAACCTTTATGAAAGGCTGATGGGCCTCCCATAAGTGCGTGTGGCAAAGCATGACTTACCCCACCCCCCCCCCCCCAAAAAAACCCCTCTCTAAATAAATTTAGATTTTTACATCTTGCAGAAAAGCAACATTGAAACATGATTATAGTCTTACCGTCTTACTCATCCATTCAAAGAACAAAACTGTAAAAAGTTATCACAATATGGTAAAAATGAGAAAAATTACAAGTACTGTAAATAGGTATGTCTTGTTCGAAGTTATGGTTTTTTTATTTATTATTTTGGTGTTATAAATTCTGTTTATCTAACGTACTAGTAATATATTTAAGCTAGAAGACAGTTGAGTTTAAATAAATGTATACATCTCATTGATGTACTTATTAAACGTATGATACAATATGAAAAGGCCTACGTGTAAGACGTCAATTTAAATCCCACAGAGAGTATTGTCAAATCTAGGTCTTCAGGTGATGACCCCGTTGCTGAAAGAGGGAGCCTAGAGGTCTACATTTCAGATGCGTAGCAGCTACAGTATCTATCTTGGCACTCTACTGATCAACTGAAGAGGGTCTTGCGCGTTGTCGTAGGTTATATTGGGGTGGGGGTGGCGAAGGTATTTGGAGTCTTGTAGAGCGTTTTGGGATATTGTAGGGTTCTGGCCTTCCTGGAATGTTGTTGCTCAAGGGGTCACTAATACCCGAAGAACTAAATTTCACAATCTGCCGTGTTCGTGGAAGCATATCCCCACAGAGAGTAGTAAGTTATGTTTAAATTCTTTCTTTAGCCCTTTGGGTAAAACTTGGAATGACATTATTGTTCTGAAATCTTTTGATTTGTGTAATCCATCCTATCGTTTGTCAGAATACAAATAAAAGGACAGGCACCAACACACAGTCCAGGTTTAGTTAGTTTTAGTACACTGTATGCATCAATCCATTTCTGGGCTTTGTACTTCATTGAGAACGTTCCTACAACTACTTCAACCTCTCATACACATTCAAAATACTTCTTTGATGTTTATCGTTCATTTCAGACTCTTAAAACACATCATACACTATCATAATAGACCTAGTTGGTATAATGAATGGGTCATGTGTTTGAGGCATAGGTAGACACAATTGGTGGAAATGTAGTTTGTCTCTAAAGGAACCTTATCTAATGAATTTTCCTTTTAGGTGTCACTTCTAGATAGCCGCCAACTGATGATGTGTGTTCACGGAGAATGTAAAACTTTGAAGCCTCCTGATGCTTCAAAATGGCAAAGGGTAAGATATTGTCTTGAGGAACAAATAATTCGATCACTACACTTCTGATTTCCAAGTAATTCAGGTCAGCTTACGACACATGTTTTTTCTCCGCTCAAAAAGCTATGACATGCGACCAATTCACCTCTTCCCCTTGTGGAGTGTTTGTGAATAAAAATGAATTATTAGAGAGAAATAAAATAAGTCATGTTTTCAAGAAGAACAGAAATCAATAATATTTATTTATACAGTTTGAATCATTTTTTAAACATCAGCTGTTCTAAATAAAGGCTAAAGAAAACTATTAGGTGAAAGAACTGAACATACTCCTGGCCTTGAAGTGTCCTCACTTCAACAGTTAGTTTAGAATAAAACACATTAACACAATTTGTTGTAGGCCGGCTATAGCAACTGATTGCTTTTTTCTACTTCTGCTTTTCAACCTATACCATCTTTGCTGGGAAACAACTTAAAAACTGTTGCTGGAGACCACCGAAGTCCTAGCTCGTTGAAATGTTGATCATCAGAGTTTCGAAGGAATTTTGGAGTCTTATGATGATTTTGAGTCTTATGAGATTGAGTAACAGAAGTGAACAAGTCTTGACAGTTTATAACACATTTCTTCAATTCAAAGCACTCTTGTTTCAATAATTCAACAAGTTGAGATTGGAGGATGACCGCTTCCTCTGTAGTTTGTGATGAAGAGTAGCTATTGGTCAGAGCTCCATCGGAAGATACAACCACTTGACTGGATTGCTTGACTGTCTTTACTGTAGTGGTTTCACTCTCGGTTGTGTTAGCGGCGGCACTGTCTGTTGGTTTAACAGCAACACGATCGGTAGGATGGATGGTATCATTATCGGTAGGATGAATAACAGTATTGTCTCTTGGGATGACAGCAATGTTGGTAGGTTGTATGGCAGCACTATCACTTGTCAAGGTAATTGAGCTCACTGTTGTATCTGTATTCGTTGGTTGAGGTTTTGTCACTGTCTTTGTGGTATTTCTAATCATCGTGTTTGCGAACTTAGGTATTGTGATTGTCACTGGCCTCATTATTGTGATGAGTTTTGTTCCAGGTTGTATAATGTCGTTGCCTTTGATTTGAAACTGACTTGATGAGTTCGGTTTGATTACATGCACTGAAGTAGTTCTATGAGGTTGAGCTGAAGTGCAATTAACCTTGGCCAAATAAGGGTTAGAACCAATTTTTGAAAGCAGCACTTTAATGTAGCTGGTGTTGTGGATGAATAGTTCACTGATTTGGTCTTCATCTTCAGCTAAAGTTTCAATGTTCAAATCATCTTCACTTGATGTACTTACAATTCGATAAAAATAAGAATCAAAGTCTTCTTTCTTCTTCTGGGTTTCTTGCATAAGAGTATTTAAGGCTTCGTGTTGCACAAATGTTAATGTTTCTTCTTGTTCAACAAGTTGATCTATGATGTTTTTTATTTTTTTCATACGGACTTTAATAAAAGATGTGAGTCGTGTATAAGTCTCAATTTTAAAATCATTATTTGGAGATGCCATTGTACAAAGATGATGAGATAAATGTAAAAAATTCACAAAGTGTAAATGAGTGGGTTAACAGTTTCAATATGGAAATAAGATGTGGAGTTAGGTAAGAGTTCAAAGGCACAGAAAACAATGGGTAAAATGAGGAAATATTGATGTATGAAGAGTTTTGGTGGAAGAAAGTAATTCCAAATCGCTTAAGTAATATCCGGCTCGAAGGACCATTAAATAATGTGGAATGTTTGTGAATAAAAATGAATTATTAGAGAGAAATAAAATAAGTCATGTTTTCAAGAAGAACAGAAATCAATAATATTTATTTATACAGTTTGAATTATTTTTTAAACATCAGCTGTTCTAAATAAAGGCTAAAGAAAATTATTAGGTGAAAGAACTGAACACCCCTATCAATTCACAAAATATAATGTAAATTCCGAGCTTCCATATTTTTTGTTTGATGGTTTTCTTAGTTTCTGCTTGCCAATACAGTAATAATATCAAAAACTGTAAATAGACTTGTTGTGAAGTTTCTTAATCTATGTTTGATTATTGTTCTCAGGTGACGTACACCTTCCGAGGTTATGAGCCAGGAGTACGGTACATCCTGTTCCACCACGGGGGCCAAGGAGAAGCAATCAGAGGAGATGAGGGGAATACCCATCCTGGATGTAAGATGGCAGGGGCTTCTATCAAGGCGAAGCTTACAAAGAGTTTTTCAGGAGACGAGCACGACAAAACAAGATTTTGATTTAGCCAAAAACTTTAAGTGTTTTTGTAAATTCAATTGTGCTGTGTTTAATTAGGAGTAAAGTTATAAATATGACTGTCAACATTGGCCAATGCTATAAAACAATAACTTATGTCAAATTTAATTGACTAGCTTGTACGAACTAGTAAAGGCCTGATTGTATAGCAATGCATTGGTTGCAAGGAGGAGTTATTTTGCTTCCAGGCGTATATTTTGGTGGCCACAAGCAGGTGATAGAACTGTTTAATTCCCCACAACCTGTGACAGCCCATTGCTCACAAAAGCTTTCAATCCTTTCAACAGAGAAAGTTCGGAGGGATTGATATTTGTAGGTAGACTTACCTTAAGGTTGCCAGTCGCCAGGTTCTTAAAGAATGTTGATGTGAGCCACATGTTTGCCATCATCAGGAGCAAACTTTGTATTTACATCACTTAAAACATTATATACTATTTATTTACATTATTGGTTGGCGGACGATTTACGACGCTGGTGTAGGAACCCGAGCGCATGATGACCAATAAAGTAAATAAATAGTATGGGGTTTCGAGTGATGTAAATACAAACTTTGCTACTGATGATTGCACACATGAAGCAAAAATTTATATTGGGCTCACATCGACATTCTTCAAGAACCTGGCAACCATTAGGTAAACCTACATAGTTGTTCTTGAGATTGGGAATACTACACAGAGGTAGTTTCTTTATTATGTAATTATGACTAGTTAATTCAATAATAATATCTAGTAAAAAACATCACAAAAATGTGAGTATTTTTTAAAAATTTTGTTTGTTCATTATATGATACACTACATAAATACACCTAACTGATAAAAAACAAAATAAAATTCTGTAGAGTAGAATAGTCTTTAAGTCATTTGTGCGGCCAATATCAGTGTAAAAAAGAGAAAATAACTCCAACCTGAAGCTGGTGACTTCAGACTGCGTCCATCCTCTCTCCTGCACATTCCGCAGAACGAGACGATAGTTGAGAGCAAACACTCCTCGCTTCTGGATCACCTCTTTGGCAAAGAACGGATCGAACGGGGATATATTGAGCTCTGGCACCCCTACAACATCGGAAAATACTAAGTTCATCACAAAAATCATAATCTCAATAGGTAATAGTGGCTTCTTTCGATATACTTAATAAAAAAAGGGTTTCCTCTGTCATGCCCCTTTTCCAGCCATTAATATTCAACCGATTTTCATGATTGAGGTGTCATTTTAAAATCTTATGATCCAGCACAACTGCGAATTATTACAAAAAAGGTAATTTCCTTAAGGGCTACGCCCCCCTTGCGTTTCAATTATTTCTGTGGTTCCCTTTCAAAGATCCAGTATTGCTGACCAAACATTTTATAACGGTTTAAATACCCTACCCTACCAATCTAACATCTGACTCCTTCAGTTGAATGATTAATGACAGTCAGATTGTAAACCAGAGACAGACAAAACAGTTTATGAAAATAGATTATAATGAGGCTATTTTTGTGATAATTGAATTTTGAGACCTGATTGAGGTAAGTAAATCGCTCTTCGGTTTTTATGGCGTAAATCTAGATCTTTGAAATGTAAAAGGGTATTGTATTATTATTTTACCTTGAAATTATGTTTTGAACCCTATTAAAATGCAAAATTTCCCCTTGAATTGTACTGAAAGTGTCAATAATAAATTCCTTGTACAAGACGAAGCTGGAGTTTAAATAGATGGATCAAGTGATGAGGAAGCTCTTAGGTGCAAGTTATCAACAATATTTTTCATTCTTATGCAAAAAAGAAACGCACAAATACACACTACTACAGTGTGAGTAAAATGAAAACTTCCTGTACACATTCAATGGAGGCTGCATTGCGACATAATGACCCGGAGGTCACATTTTGTGTTACTTGTTCCGCACCCACATAGCGTGCTTCTGTAATATTTCAAAGGCTTTTGATTAGAATCATTGCAATAACGATCAAACAAATGCAAAATTTAAATGGTAACCTCAAATTTAAAAATGTATCCCTCAATAGAAAATCAATACTATATTGTACAGAGGTAAGCAAATTTGAAGTTTCACCAGGTAGATTCCACATTACAAATACATCTAATCGACCTGTACTGTGATTGAAGTCAGATAAATTATGTTATATTTATAATAAATTTATTTACCTGTGCTGAAAAATGGTCTGACGTCGTTGAGGGCTTTCTTGATACAATCATCGAACCCATCTTCGCCTCTCTTGCAATCTGCGAAGTAAGAAGCTGAAACAGTTCATCAAATTAAATTATCATTTTTGAAAATACAAAAAACAAAGATAACTACTAATACAGTATACGTTTTCCTCAATTGGTCAATTATTTATATTTTAAAATTATTAATTATTTAGTACCATTGCTAAGAATCATAAACTTTTAGGTTATTTTTACGTTTTATACAGAAACCTAAACAAGTCTCATCTAAATTTCTGTCTGTCTGTCTTCCTGTCTGTCACCGCCCAAGAGCCATTTTACGCGGCCTACTCCTGAAAAACGAGAGTACCTATCAAGTTCCAAATCATTTTAATGTATTCACTGGATTGGCGAGATCGTCTTTAGCCATTAAAATATGGCGTCACTACTTTGTAAATAAAATGACGGACGTTTAAAAACCCAATTTTGTGCGATGTTTTGTAAAGTTTTCCCAATGTTTATCACATAATATTCATCTATGAAGTAACGCACAGCTGTTCGAATCAAGATTATTTCTTCTAGCTGTCACTGATATGTTTACATTGAATGTTGTTTACAAATACCGCAACCATTTCCGATTACGTTTTGAAAACAAATCCAAACCAAGTAAGATTAAAAGCGTTTTTCCTTACATAACGGATTTGATTAATCGCAAGTGCAAAAATTTGTAGGGTATCCGTAAATGAAAATAGAGATTCTTTGAGTATAAAATTGTTCTTGAGTTTTGATAACCGGGAAAAAGACCTTGAATCAGTGTTGTATATGGCTGGGAAACTTACATTTTTTAAATGAGCGTTTTCAGTCGAGACTCGGCACACGACCGACGCGCGTCTACATGTCCATAGTAAAAATAAAAGTTGGCCTACCGTGTATTTATGTTTTATTCGTCATGTGTATAATAGTGTACAGTTCGTGTACGTGTTTCAAAAACTCCAAGGCGCACCTAATGGGGAAGCTCAAGACCTTATATTAGGACTGATGAAGGCGATTTAATTTTGCCGAAATGCATCTCCTGTAAAGGATACATTACGATCGATCGGCGGACACAGGTAATTTAACCTTTTATTGATTGTCATACCGATCTGGAACAACAACAAACAACATAAAATGAAGGTAAGTTATGTATAATAGTTTGGCCAGCATATATCTGAAAATATGCAAACCAACTGCTGTTTTTATATACGGGTACAGCTAGTTTAATCTAGGTAATATCATAGTAGTTTACGCAAAGATTGCGTAAAGATAGAAAGATAGTGTTAACGACACGAGTAGAAAATTGAAATACACGAATAGAAAACTATTTCCGCGAGTTGCGTACACTACTTTACCCACGACACTGTTATAATTACTAAACATCACTCTCATAACTTAAGAGAGGTTATATTTTCGTTTACAAACCTCTCATTGTCACTGACAGTGATGCAACGAAACATTGTAGGTAGGGAGCAAACACTAATTACACCACGCAACAATTAAATTGGCCTGAACAGCTGATTAGTTGAAGTTCGAATCATTACAATTTTACTTCTTCTCTCTCAATTCTTGAACCTCATTGGTCCGTGGCCGGTGTTGTTATGAGTAGCCTAATGAGTAAAACCATGTTTTATCTATGGTAAAACGTAAAACTATGCTGTTATGAAAAACTTTTCCATTCTAAGAACTGAAGTGAAACGGCTAGTTAAAAAAACTATCGAAAGAAACCACTTTTGAAAACATCACAACCAATTAGGTTTAGCCACTTGAATTATTATTGTGCTTAGTCTCTGAACATTGTTCATAAGGGATCAGACGGGTTGTTATAAGCAAATTCTCTAGTTTTAGTTTCATAAACAAAAACTTGTTCCTCAGTCAAACAGATGTCGACCTACTGAGAAACAAGTCCAAAAGGCGGTTGAACTCTTCAAGGATAACCACTTCCACAGGCTCAATGGACATAGTTCAATCAAATCAGTTTTCTATTTCAATTAAGTGTTTCGCAGAATGTTACAAAACAGAGTTTCAAACATTTTACAACACACTTTTTGCATCCAAGAAAAAGTTTCTTAATTTATTTCTCTTATAATCACCTCAAACAAAAGTGGCTAAAACAGCACTGATTGTACGATAAAAGCTTGTTCCTGCACTCGTTCACTTTACTCATTTTACTTTGTTGCACTATAGATATTCAAAATAAAACTCAAAATTGTAAGCACGCACGTATCGTGCAACCAGGTGTTTGGAAAAAGTTGGCTACACTGCCTTAACTACCTGTTATCGTTTATGTGTTTAAATATAAGAGATCACTGAACTATAGAGATACAACTGGAGTTAGCTGTGAATGAAAGAGTTGCGAGACATATGCCGCCACTTGTACTAAGGAATAAGTGCATTTGAACTAGGGGAATGTGGAATTATTGTACATACATAAAGCCATTAGCTGATTCCCCTAGTTGCTAACAACATAAAAAAATGTACAGCGTTTCGATTTTCTAATTTCTAGCAGAGTTCCCCATTGCTACGACCTCCAGTTGTATTTTCTAGCTCAGGGTTTGAGATATGATTAGTATTTTTAAGTATCGGGACTATTTATTTGGGGAACAAGTGGACTAATTTAAATGACAGTAAAATGCACAGCTGATACCCTTATGGTTCAGCTTTATCTCTTGTCTACAAAGAAATCTATATAAATTCCAATGAATGTTTGTTTGTCCTTTATGGACTCTGAAACCGCTCGACAGATTGTAATGAATGAAACTGTCAGGCATTATTATGCATTATTCAAGGATTGTTTTTTGTGAAGTTTGGTGCAGATCCGTCAAAAGGGCTCCGCCCCAGTGGCTCCGGAGTTTCCCATGTTAACCTTATGAGTACTCATATTTAAATGGAATTAAAGATTCTTAACAGCTGGTTCAACTAATCAATTTGATTCTGTGATGTTCAATAGCATTAAAAATTTAATAGGTTTACCAACAGGGTGCACCACTATTATCTTTTTTTAATTTATGACAACTGCTAATTTGCAACCAAAAGGTGAGTGAGCGTAACGAACGAACTTCAACCTGGAGGCGAGTCAGCGTAACGAACAAGCTAACCTGAAGGCAAGTGAGCGCAGCGAACGAGCTCCAACCAATGGTGAGTAAGCGTAGCAAACGAACTTCAACCAGGACGTGATTGAGCCATGCGAACGAGCTCATCTTGAAAATGAACGATAAAACCACATTAGGACAAGACGACGTCTGTCGGGCCAGCTAGTGTCATATAAAATTCGTTCCCACAAATAATTAGTTTACAAAACAGCTGATTTCTAACTTAGGGTCACACGTTGCTAGCATTGTTTTGAATTAAAATTGAACAGAACAAAATTAAGGCTCAGTTATTTTAATTGAATTATAATGTACACGAACTGGTTAGTATGTAGATTTATCAAAATTCTTACGCATTGCATTTTTTAAATAAACAACATAAATGTCTTTTGGTTAAAAAAAAACTAGGTAATTATTTATGAAGATCATTAACATCATTATGTAAACGGAGAGTAAGCCCATTTTTGTTTGTAGTTTGTGAATGACTTTGTGTATCCCGACACCGCAACAATGCAGCTGAAGCACAATAACTGCAATGATTATTGTTCGTCATACTGCAGCAAAAACAGCAGTTTGTAATGCATGCGTTGCAGGTCTAATAGTCAGGATCAGGAACAGCTGGGCCCGGTTTCAAGCCATCAAAAATGTGATACCAAAAAGCCAATGTACGCGGTCTACTCAGAGGTAACTAGAGTACCGATCAGGATGTTAACTGTTTTACCGTATTCATTGGATCGACGAGCATTTCTTTAGCTATTAAAACGTGGGCTATACAGTTTACTTTGAAAACAAAACGTCCGGATTCAAAAACACAGTTTTGTGTGATTTTTGTCCCATCCATCCTATTGTTTACTACTTACGTCATTTACCAATAATCTGTTTAGAGAATCTTCATCTAATAACGAAGTTGTTTGGAGGTTCTTTCTTCAAACTGGTACTGTTATGTTAACATTTAAAGATTTTTACAAATAGTGAGAAATAACTATAATTTCCAGTCACGTTTTGTTAGCAAATCCAACAAAGTGAGATTATACTAACCTTGTGACTTGAACGGATTTAATTGTTCGCAAGTACAATAGTTTGCAACCAAATGAAAAAAATACTAGATATACCATCCAGACCGGAAAACGGATTCTGCGTGTTTCAAATTGTACTTAAGGCTTAAACTGACTACAAGATCTCCACTGCTAGTAAAACATAAAAAATAAACTATTTCAATAGCAATTCTTGTGCAATTTATTACGTGATTGGCATTTAAATTGAATCATTTGCTTTTCTGCAATGTTACTTGTAGTTGTACTTACTGAAGTTCCGCAGCGTATCCTGGGCGGAGACGGCTGAACTCCCGAAGACCAACACTGCGAGTATAGCCGACCACATAACTACAACCTCAGCACATAGCTACAGACCCGTCCAGGAGTTGAGGAGAGAGTAGTGTTGCGTCATTACTTGCGATTTGGGGCTCAGTCTACAGTCTACGCCGTTCTGTGTTTTCTTACTGATTAACATCATAGCTTGATTGGTGCAATATGAAAATTGAAAGTAAAAGGGAAGATAACCACAAAAGATTGCATTTAAAAATCCAAGGTCGAAATATTTTATACAGCTTAATGATGATGTACACGGAATTGGGAACTTTTTTGCAGTAGTCATAGGCTACAATTACAGTTGTTTGGAGATTGCTGATTTAGGAGGGAGAGATTCTGCTAATTTTGCTTCTAAATTCATAAAGGCTTGTGTGAAATGTTTACATTACAAACTTTGGGTGGATGTTAGCGTTGTTTTTTATGGCTCATTCAAAGACCAAGACACATCTACCGAGTTTCTACACCCAGCCGTTCTCTCAAATTGGTTGAGACAAAGAAAAACAGATTCCAATAAATATATAGATAGATTTTATATTATTCGGAAAGCTTAGGCTTCAAACTTAAATGTAGCTAAGGTTAAACATGTTACAACATGTTTAACGTTTTATGATTGCGATGGATCGTTATTTTAATTTTAAGGGGAAAATGAAGCGACATGACCTATTGATAAAGGTTTTACTGTACACTACACCATGTAATCAGATGTAAGGAAACTGCTTCAGATTGTAAGGGACCCTGTCTATATTGTATCTTTAATCAACGTATCTGACAACTGTTTTGTGTATTTCAGAGAATTCTTCAAATAAGGAATGAGCTGTTGCCGTAGGTTCCATGGAAAGACCAAGACTCGGGACAGTTTTCTTTCTTGATGTGCCCACAGGCAAAAAACCATCCGTTTTAAAATCAGCTAGTAAAAAATGTCCAATCGAAGAAAGACTTTGGTTATACGGTTATACTATAATAACTGTAATAATTTATTGCTATTAGGGAACAAGTGATCTTAGTTGTTTCCAAGATACACAAGAGCGTTCGACATTCCTTACAAAAAATACAATTCAAGACTTGCTTTAAACTTATACGCACGAGGTATTTTTAGTGAACTAATACTGTAGTCTACCAAAGCTTGACACAGTTTCAGATTCAAATTAGGTTACAAGTTACCTATCGAGATTGCACAATTCCTCGGATCCGAAGTGCAGGATATCAGAGTTACGTAACTTCTGTCCAATGGCTAATGCATTCACTTAACCTGTTTGACCACCATCGTGACCGACTACGAGCGTACCTTGAACCCTTTGGGTTACAACCTATATCATGCTTAGGAATTAGGATCATCGTGAATCGGATTCATACGAGTGCGACATTGCAGTGGTCTATGGAGGTGCTCCTTCAAGGACGAATTTCAATACTATCCCTTGCGTCGCCAACCTGAAGTTTAGAACCTTTCCAACGCGATAGATTAACTCTCTAAGGCTAATTTAGTACTTGCAGTTTCCAGTAATGTTGGGGTTTTAAGTTCGCATTAAATAAATAATGCCAAAATGCAGATGATACAGAAAATGTTTGTAAAAAATATTCTAGGTGACAGGCCTCCAAGATCACAAATCAAGGTCAAATCTAGGGTTTCGGTTGATGCCTGCGTCATTGAAAGAAATACAATATGCCAACGTTTCAGATACGTAGCAGCTCTCCATCTTCGGGTCAAACTACTATCCATCCGACTGAAGTACTATTGAGCAGTGTTGAAGTACTATTGAACTGAGTCGACTGGTAGTTTGCCCCGAAGATGGGTAGCTGCTGCATCCGAAACGCCTCTAGTTTTCCTTTTCTTTCACGTGGGCATCACACTAAGACCTAGATTTGACCGGAAAACCCTTTAACTTCATCAAACCGTCACCAGAGTTTTGAGGACTGTTTACGTTCAACGCTCTCTCCATGAATGTATCCAATTCACAGCTGATTATCAATTCTTTGCCGCCAATATAAAAGACGAGATCACTATAAATTCAAATTCTAGTGTGCCTATTCGTGAAACACAGTTTAGTACATTCGGACATTAATGAGTTGCTATAATCAAAATAGGTGTTCTATTGATAAAATTCAAATCTGGCAACGACTAATAGTAACTTTTTCCAATGCGATGTGGATTTCCAATCTTAACGTGTGATTGGGGTTGCCCTTCGAAGTTAGTCTTTTATTGATATTTCATTCTGTGTTGGTTATTTCAGAATACTGTATTCTCAACCGTACAAATTTGTCTTGAAGTTGATAAACCGGCTTTATCAATAAGTAATTCCGATCGCTTCCCAGGATTTTGAGATAGAATACCCCGACCTCCTTACCTACGAGATTCTGAGCACCATTCTTGAAACACCCACCGTAGCAACCTAAGTATTTCCTTTCAAAAATTTGATAACTTCGCATTGCCATCCGATGTTTGGGCAGAGGTTGCACGCCAGGATGAAGTAACACGTCCACGAAGAGGGAGAGTAACTGGTTGTGTTATGCGGGAAGCAGAGAAAGTATGGGTCACCTGCACCAGTGGTCACCTTCTGCTTCCTTCATACTTCCTTGCAATTTAAGATTATTAGGCGCTACACGAGACATGGGTAGAGAGAAGTAAGGTACAAAAGAGCCTGGTTTGTAAATTTGTGATTGGTTACTGCATTTGTTTGCAGTATGAACATGAAGCCAACGATGTCAGCAACGTCCACAATATCAAGGGTGCAAGTGAACAAGCGAGTTGAAAAAAGGGCACTTCTAGTAGGCCAACCATTTTAGGCCTTCCCTAACCTATCCTAATGTTACTTAAATGGCCTGTATACAGGGTGTTTCGAAACTCTCTCCCGACTTTTGGGCCCAGAAGTATACATCCCGTGGACCGCCTGTAGCCAAATTTGTATTCAGATATTGTTGAAAGAGTCTCATTGAGTGTGTTGCCGTAAAAGGGTGTTCAGAGATGAATTCCCTTCACATCACTCATTTTTACTTTCCTCCTATTCATAGGATATGGAGAAAGTATTTTTCGTCAAAATACAGTATTCGAGTTTGAGTTTTGAGTGGATATGTTCGTTTTGGATTTCTGAACCCAAAAAGGTGGTTTTCGAAGTGACCTGACGCCTGTGCGTGTGTACATCAGAGCTCTATATTAACAGGATGGAGAGGTTTAAGTTATTCTTCGTGAAAAAAATGGCGGTCATTTTGAATGTTTACATGGAATATTTCGAAATTTCTTTACAGTGTTAGTTACACTAGCATTAAGATTCGTGCAAAATTACAAGGTTTTAAGTATCACGGTTATTGATCAAAACAATGTTTGAAGAATACAAAATACAAAGCCCTTATGAGTAAACAATGACTTTTATACGTTTTAAATGTGATACCGTATTTAAATTTGTTACAAGCCCAGAAATAATACCTTAAAAGGTTGGTAGAGATGATACGAAAAACACGCTGTATAATCCTACTTTCCTAGTCTACACTATTGATTTGGTCTAGCCATGGTACTATGATCTTTTTACACCAGAGTATCTTTGACTCTATGTTCTGCCGCGGGTGATCTTCTCGTGAGTCTGTCCTAGTGACCAAAACCAGCCGACCTTGACTGCAGCAGGAGGTCGACCGCATCTCATAGTGAACGAAAAGTTAGGCTTCGTCACTGCAACAAAAACAACCAGCAGAAACAGTGAGTACTATGAATATCTTTAGTTTGTGTTATTTTGGGATAAGTTTTAGCGAATTTACCCTTTAATAAGCTCACGTGAGTGAATCTATGCACGATAGCTCGAGTAAATCATCCGATTTTGATGAAATTTGGCACAAAAGTACAACTTTATATAAATCCGAACGAGTTCGTAAATCAAATTCATGGGATGAGAAGATCAGGATTTTGTGGGATGAAAATAGGGGTTTCCCTTTTTAACACTGGCTATTAATTTTTTATCAATTTTGTTGAGCAAAATACACATAATTAAGTATATTCAAGCTTTTTTGTTAATCTACGGAGGGACTTAAATGTTTTTATCACCATCTGATTTCTATAGAGTATAAGTAAACTGTTGTTGGTTGCTTAATGCTTCATCCAGGATATATTTTGATTGTGCCTTTTTGAGAAGAAGGCCGCCTCTATTTGAACTGTTGAAACTACAGTTTGTTTTAGGTGGTTTTTGTGATTGTTTCTGTTCAGTAAATTAAAAGAAAAAAGTGTGAGTAAAGCTATAAACTGGGGTTTCCACAGTTTAAGTAGTGGTGGCCCTCTTCTGAAAAATACCCCTTTGATAAAGTTTAGAAAATTTATTCATTTTATAAGCTTTTGACATTTCATTAAAAGCATATTTTAGGCTACTGCCTTCCTGTAGCAGCAAACCTAATGTTACTTAAATGGGGTGTGACATAATTAAATTTGATTAGAAATTCAATTAGGCAGATTGAAATTCGCTTAGTCTGCAGGATTGCTGCAGCGGTGGTATTTTTCCTATGTATTCGACAAACTTAACATTTTTACAAAAACACATGTAATAATTGTGCTTAATTAGAATGAGATGACGATTTCGTGGATGTAGATATCGTGACGAAGAATCTAGCAACATTGTCAACCTACAAATTACACAAATGTTACACCAAACCGGTTGAAACTCTAGTTTAGTTGCCAACAATGAAGCAACCAGCTGTAAAAAACACGCCACATTTCTTCATCTTTCACAACCTGAAATCCCAATGTGAATTTTAACCTGAGAATGAGTTAGGTATTAAAAAATATAATTTGAAATGAGTCGAAAACTAAAATGATTTAGCTATTTTTGCGAAAATCTAGAGGTAATTAAACGTAATGTGTAAACTATTTAAGTTCGTCTTATGAAAAACATAATATTTATAATTGTGGTTAAGTTATACAGATAAAATACTGAATAAAGCTCATTGATGAACTTCTTGATTTTATATTTTTCAAATGCTGAAAGTCAAACCAATATAGAGAGTTTTGTAAGGATTGGTATGTTTATATTTACACTTGTAGACTACAGCTACACTCTCACAGGTTTAAATTTATTAGATTCTACTTCGGATTATATTCGAAGTATCTTCTGGAAGTACCCACAAGGCCAATAAAAGTTGTTTAAACAATATTTGGGCTATTGTAAACATTATAACTTTTCGGGAGATGACCTTGTCCATAGGTGTTTTACAAGAATAGTTTAAGCTCTCCAAAGGAATTTTCATGACTTGTAGCCACATAAAGTTGTCCAACGGAAAATTTATGAAAGACAATATCCGGCTGGTAATATTCAACCCTCTCTATGAACTGACCCTGAGCTTTATTATTGACATAGCTAAAGCTGAAAACACTAGTAATTGGGTTTTATGAATACCTGTGGACTACGACACAGGGTGTCCCGAAACTCTCTACCAACTTTTTCAGTTATTATTCCTGGACCGAAAAGTTGAAATAAACTCAACCAACATTGATACCATGAATTATTTCGTTTATATTTCCATCACAAATCAATTACCATCAGACAAAATCGTTATTATATCCTTCATCTGCTATTTCAGTAGACCTGTACAATATCAGGGCTCAAATAGCTTTTCACCTTTTGTTTTGGGGTAAGAGAGCTATGTTTTATAAGCTGTAGGTTTACTGAGAGGTTTACTGAAATAGAAGCGTAAAACATCTTTGTTGAAACATCACTATTAAGTGGTTGATTTTATTGCTACACTATGGTATGTTCTTGGATAATTTGGGTCTATTGACTTGATATGAGTAGGGGTTTGAAAGTAAGTATGTCTAAAATTTAAAAATGGTTTATCTTTTTAAAACAAATCATACATTACAGTAGGCCTACTTAAACGACGTTCAGTGGTACCTATGACTGGAAATAGTATATTTCATAACAATAGTAGAAAGTGAGTCATTACTTATTTGAGACCATGTTTGAAGTGCGAGATTTATCGAGCACTTTTAATGGTCGAGATTATGTATAGACCCACTTTCACTCGTGTTTTGAACGTTACTTTTCGCTACACTACAAAGAATAATTATTTTCTTCATTACAAAACTCGTAGCATTTTTTTTGGGGTTTCCTTCGATTTAAAGTAATTATTTACTTTAGTTGTTGAATATTGAAACAGTTGATAAACAATAGCAAATATTTGTTTGTTTACGTAGGCAAAATCCGAAAAAGATAGTAAACATTCTTTTCCTACAGTTACCTAACAATGTACATGTTCTCTCACTGATTTGAGAAAGCAAAGTGGCCAATTCGCTCATCAGTGAGACAATGTTAACATTGTCTCACTCTAATTACTTTGTCTCACTCCAGATTTGCAACGTGAAGGCACGAAATAGTGAGCGCGTAACATGCAGACAAGGTCGTATGCGCGCAAAATACGTTGGCAGTACTGGCTGTAAATCAGCTGGTCAGCTGTTGCACTGTTTTATCATTAAATGGCATATTAAAAGTTAACTTCTGTGTAAAAATATGTTACGTTTCTTTACCAATTTATATGTTTTATGGTAACTGTAGGAAAATTATAATGTTCAACTCGAGTGCAAAGTGCAACTGCCTCACTCGAGAAACCATTCCTCACTCGCTCTTTTTGCTCACTAGTTGCACAAATAACTATTTGCCATAGTAGAAAATTTAATGATAGATTTTCGCAGGTGATAAACATGCAACGAAAACAGGTCATTGCACAGTAGAGTAGGCCTAGCGAAAATGGAATTTTAGACCCTTGCGATATGTTTTGGAAAGTTAAAATACTTCAAATTGAAAACAAACAAAATGAACAGCTGATTTCAATATCATCTTACTAATATTATAAATGTGAATGTTTGTGTGTTTGTTTGTTTGTTTGTTTGTTTGAAGTTCAATCACGCATTAACTACTGGACGGATTGGGCTGAAATTTTGCATGATGATACCTCATATTCCCGATTAACATATAGGCATATTCTTATCTCAAAAACCCTTTCGGGCTCCGCCCCAGTGGCTCTGTAGTTCCCCATGTTAACCTTATGAGTATTCATATTTAAAGGGAATTAAAGAATTTAGTCAGCTGTTTCAACTAAAAAAGTTGGTTCTATGATATGGAAAGTATTAATAAGTTATGAGATTTGCCAACAGGGTGCAGCACTATTATTTTTTTTTCATTTATGAAAACAGCTTATTTGAACTAAGTAGCAACAAAAAACAGTGATAGGCAATGAGAACTGTCAAAGTAGGATTGTTTACTGTTATGTTTATGTTTTTAATTGCATGAATAATTTGTGATGTTTTTGTGAAAGTTTTAATTATTTATTTTTCTCTATTGTTTAGGTGCAGTGGTAGAACATTATGGCTATGGTAGATGTGTAATACTATAGTATACCGTAAAATTTATTATAGTAAACAGTTTTGTTCAAATGTGTCCTACCCCATTGCAAAAGCTAAGTTAGAGTATAACACTGCAATAAACATTTTGCACTTATATGCCAACCCCGTACGAAGGACGGGTACTCAGCTAGTTATTCCATAAGGCAATCAACACTGAAGACTCATTTACAGCATAGGGAACTTCCAACCTAATATTAGCTTAATGAATTTAATCTGTCTGCCACTTAAATGACAATAGCATAACTTTGAATTAAATGATACTATTACAAATAAACTAAATATCCTTTTGTGGTGGGAGTTATAAGCCAATACAGTCTAACGAGGAATCTTATCCTATTTTGTTTTTTCAGTTGGAAATATTTCTAGGATAGAAGTTCTACTCCTATAACACATAACAACTTGAAGTAACAACTTAGAACGGCTGCGAGCTGCGATCCAAAAATAAAGGAATGAAAGCAAACTACTATATATATTGTACTATATATATATGTATATATATATTTATATACTATGTATATTCTGTATAACAGTTTGTATTTTTTCAGATTATGGACCTTGTGAGACAAACAGTATTATTGTTCCTTCTTACGTTACCAAGTTTTTACTGTAAAACAAGTAAGTATAAAAATCTGTACTGAAAAAAAACTAATTACTACGAGTATTATAACCGAAGGCGGTATGGATCATAAACAAACAAATGACGTAACTGGCCCGAATAACATATGGTTTAGACAGTTCCAGCAAGTAAAAGAATGTTTACTTGCGGGTCAGTAACATAAAATGTTATAAAAACTATATGCCATATCTGTTTTAGCTTTGTGCTAATGTTATTGTACGATAATTTCTAGATCAGTATTAAGAATAAAAAAAAAAACTACTTATAACTAACATCTTTGACTATCAATACAACATTAAAAACTATGCTAACACATTAAAAAACACCACCCCTCAAATACCAAAATACACAAATCCGTTATATTTGTTATTTGTGTAGACCACTTCAGATAAGTTTCTTTAGTTGTTAAAATTAAGAACGATTTCATACACGTTCATTTAGTCATAAGCTAACAGGTTTTTGTGTTTTCAAACAGATTGCAGACGAAGCGAACCACAATTCAACAATTGTGTTGAAAATCAAATGAACTCAATGAAATCAAAATCGTTTGTCAAAAAGGGTAAGCTTTCTAGTTTAATTTAATAAACAGTGTGAAAATAAATGCTCTACGTTTCATTTCCATTATTTTTTTTTTGCCTCTATACAGTCGAGTTTGAGTACTTGACCTAGTAAAGATATTTTTGGAGTAGAATGTCTGAGTTTAAGATTAATTGACTGCCAAACTACTTTCAAACGCCCTCATACAACTCAAATGCAATCAGACAATTGCCAAAGTGCGAACAGTGGTTATTTCAGTTTTGTAGCTTTTGGCGGTTTTGGTTTATATTAAAGTACCATTCCTCACATTGGTATCAGTCTTTCAAAACAACTCCCAGAATCTATTTAATAATCCGAAAAATAAAATAATACCTATATCGTTTGGCATTATGATGATTTGTATTTCTTACGAAGTATTTAGATAATTATTTACAGAGGGGAGACAAATTATTAGACTAAGCTCGTTTTTTGCACCTTATTTATTAGATCAGTAAAGTTAGATACACAAATGTAAACACAAAATATGCACTATAAAATACTTAAAATTCAATTAGAACGTTTAAATATATAAAATGTTAAGGTATTAGAGAAAATAAACAATGAAACAGTTGTTTATACCTTCACTGAAATGTAAACAATAAATTGCTAAGCAGCCACCAATGGTAAACAGCTGTTTTTTCCTATTACAGATTCATTACTACCAACCTTGGAAAAAATATAACAGTATGAATGTTAAGTAGCTTTTTATAAGTAAAGCATACAAATTTGCAGCCTTAGGGTAATGTTTAAATTGAAGAGTTGTTATTTTTCAGAAAAACTCAGTTTAGTCTAATAATTTGTCCCCCCTCAGAAATAGTTCGTTTATGTGCCGAATATTTTTATTTGATTCTAGACTGATCCAAAACCATAGTAAATTATTAATTGTATTTTTAGTGAATTTCCCATATAGGAAATAAGCTATTACCGTAGTACTCATGGTTAGACCTGGACCCGGGACAGATTTACTTTTTCGGTCCCTACTCCCTAGAGGCCAAATACATCATCCGATCAAATTCAAATATACAGTATTTATCTATCTTCTAATATATAAAATTCTCGTGTCACAGTGTTTGTCTGCAAACTCCTCCGGAACGACTTCACCGATCGTTATGAAATTTGGTGTGTAAATTCTGTAGGTATGCGAATCGGACGTAAACTATTTCCCGTTTCGAAATTCTTAAAAGGGCTCCGCCCCAGTGGCTCTGGAGTTTCCCATGTTAACCTTATGAGAAATGGAATTAATGAATCTTAACAGCTGTTTCAATTAAACAAGTTGGTTCTGTTCTATGATGTTCAATAGCATTAAAGTTACAAGGATTTCCAACAGGGTGCAGCACTATTATTTCTTTTACATTTATGACAACAGCTAATTTGCAACCAAAAGGTGAGTGAGCGTAGCGAACGAACTTCAACCTGGAGGCGAGTTAGCGTAGCGAACGAGCTAACCTGAAGGCAAGTGAGCGCAGCGAACGAGCTCCAACCTAAAGGTGAGTGAGCGTAGCGAACGAGCTCCAACCCAAAGGTGAGTGAGCGTAGCGAACGAACTTCAACCAGGACGTGATTGAGCGATGCGAACGAGATCATCTTGAAAATTAAACGTAACGGTACTTTCTTTCCATCGGTCTGTCTTAGGGGAAACCTATAACTTAGGCGATACGAAGTTCGCCGGGTCAGCTAGTATATATATAATATAAAGGAAAACTCAACATTGATAAACTGAGTACCCGTGTAAAGATTATTAAGACATTTACTATATAGATATATATACTACTACTACTGGGTTATTTTTCAACCATTCCAGTCCATGAATTACATCAAATCAGGTCAATTAATTTGATTGTGTGTTATGTATGTTAAATATATGTATTCTAGGTTGAAATCATTAGCAAAACTACTCAGTCGGATCAAGTATAATTCTTAGACTTGTTTTGGAAAAGGCATTCCACAAAACAGTGTTAAAGAGGTATTAAAATTCGTATTGGTAATTTTGCAGTATCTGAAATTGTAAAATGAAACAAAGATTTCTAATATATTTAATGCCCGATTCTTTGGGCATTAAATAGTAAAACTAAGTAGTTTTTATTCTGATCGGGCTTTCGGGCTCCGCCCCAGTGGCTCTGGAGTTTCCCATATTAACCTTATGATTTTTAATATTTAAAAGGAATTTCTTAACAGCTGTTTCAATTAAAAAAGTTGGTTCTGTTCTATGATGTTAAATAGCATTAAAGTTACAAGGATTACCAACAGAGTGCAGCACTATATATATTTTTTTATTTATGACTACAGCCAATTTGCAACCAAAAGGTGAGTGAGCGTAGCGAACGAACTTCAACCTGGAAGCGAGTTAGCGTAGCGAACGAGCTAACCTGAAGGCAAGTGAGCGGAGCGAACGAGCTCCAACCTAAAGGTGAGTGAGCGTAGCGAACGAACTTCAACCAGGACGTGATTGAGCCATGCGAACGAGCTCACTTGTGATGTTAAACGGAGCAAAGCCCGCGGGTACAGCTAGTAACATATAAACGAATTACAAGATGAACTGATTTTACCGTTTAAGTTAAAAATGCCTGCAGAAAGTGTCTGCAATACCCGTAATACAGGAGCGTGTTGGTGTTACGTTTCCTTTGGGAAGGCGTTTTTTTTATAATCCCGTCTCGAAAAAGTGTCTCAGCAATGACAATCTCGCTCGAACTCACAATATTTTTTTAACCTCGCAAATTTCTCGAAAATTTGAGACCCGTACTTCACTTAAACAGCATATTATCAATTGTGTTTATAGTTAGCCTATGTTGCCTTACACCCCCCACAGATCTTACAACTTATTCCACCTCTTACCATAGCTATTATCTGATTATTCATTGTTCTATGTTCAGTAAACCATGTCAAAATGTTGTTTGTTAAAATTAATCTGCGAAATTGTTAAAACACATTAAAATTGACTTACACTAGAATGTTTTCTGTTTCTCAGGCCTGCCTAGCCTCAAGATTGGACCCTTGGACCCCTTGTTTGTACCAAAGATACGACTACGCCAAGGCAGTGGACCTGTATCTCTGGACCTCACGTCTACTGACCAAATCTTCAAAGGGATCGTCAACTACAGAATAACCTCTGCCAAGTAACATAAAATCCTTCCCAATCAAAATAACTTTTTTAAATACGCTTTTTAACATGTGCACAATGGTGTCAGTTACATTTAAAAATACCCTCGCCGCAGCAAACCTGCCAACTAAGCGAATTTCCATTTTGATTCCATTTGATTTTCAATTAAATCTCTTTGAATACCATTAGGGTTAAGAAGTGCCTAGGTTTGCTGCTAAAAGGAAACTAACTAAGTGTGTTTTTTTATATCAATAGCTTAGTATAAAATAAATAAATTTGCCAATTTTGATCAAAATATATCCATAAACAAGCAAACTGCAACATTTTACAATATTCTCCTTAGGAATAACATGGGAATTTTAAATTTTTTTTAATTTACTCCGTAACCAATAACCGTACAAAACACTTTGATATATACTAAATTATTTGTTTTTAAGCTCTTTAAACATTTCTGGAGATGAGTTAGATCAGTTAATTTTTTGTTTTTAAAATCCGCTTCTAAATTTACTGTACCAATAGACCACATCAAAGTAAGGGTCTATTTCCTTGTTTCAGGATTGATCTGAAGAATTACAAGATGGAGTTTACAGTTACCTTACCTTGGCTTTATGTCGGAGGAAAAACTAAAATGGAAGGGAGGATATTAGCTTTTCCAATAAACGGATATGGTGACAGTTGGAGTAACTATAGTGAGTATGGTTGTAATTTTACCGTAATCAAATTAGGAAAATAGTAAGGAATGGAGTAATTTAGGGACTCTCCAAGATAGCCTATCTTTTTCTTCTCTAAATGGTTATAATGGGTCCCAAACACTTATAGGTGGTATAAGCTATCCAAACTGGCTGGGTAGCTGAGTGGTTATAGTGCTCGCCTACCAATCAAAAAGGTCGCCGGTTCGATCCTGAGAAAAGTCAGTAGCTTTTTGATGGTTCGAAACTGGACCCAGCTGTTCCTGATCATTGGGCTATAAATAAATGATCCTGGCTAAAGTAACAGCTGATCTTAGTCAGAAACAAAGCTACACAGATCATCTCACACCATTCTACACTCATCCTTCACTCATATTTGGGTTGAAATACGCACCTAAGTGACGTCCACCCCATCTTAATGATTGATAATTGAATTGAATTGAGGTTTGCTAAAAATAAGATTAAATCCGATAAATAAAATACTGGGTGTCTTTATGATTATAATAGAACAAAATTTTGAATAATGTACCGGTAGTGTATCTTATTATAGATTTTGTATTTGACATCACTTTTAAAACGCCATCACAACTAGTCCACATGAAAAGTAAGAAATTAAAGAAACTAAATCTCTCAATGTTTTACCAAAATTTAGTATTTGACCTAGAGGATCTAACCAGAAGCAATTTTTGGCTGCACTTTAGTATAACTCCTACACTCATTCGAATGATAATGATATATATCGATGTATAGATTATTCGATGTATCGATTATTTCATTCGGTTAGTTAGGTTAGGTTAACCTAACCATTTGATGGACCTAACCACCGAAAGAAATAATCGATATATCGATTGATGTATTCATTCGAATGAGTGAAGGACAGATACTGAAGTGCAGCCCAATTTTTATACCTTTGACCTTGAAGACAAATAAATCTTGTACTGTGCAATAATCATCTAAGTTTCCAGAACACTTGTAAGGCCAGTAACTTGTAAACTTATTGAAGTATTAACCAAAGTGTGAACTTCTAGCAATGGTGTCTGGGAAAGCGATTCTAAAAGGACATCCTGTAGAAATGGAAGGAAAGCAGTTCTTTAGACTGGACACGGTCAAATTTGACATGGCAGTAAAACAGGCAACAGTACAGATGAGCGGTCTTTTTGATGGGAATGAAGAGCTAGGTAAGGTTGGTTAACACAGTCACAGTGTTGAGTAGTTGAGTATACCTGGGGGTAGACTTCCGTATCTGTTGGCACAAACAACCGAATGACAATATCGATAGATATATCGATTGTTCGATATTTCCATTCGGTTGTTTGTACCAATAGATACGGAAGTCCATCAGATACCTGGTTCTAATTTTTAATTTCAATTTCTCTCCCTACCCTACTCTATACTCTTATATGAGCAATGTTTGCTTGTATGTATGGAATGCTTGATTGCATGCTTGTATATTTGCACTAAGATCTCGAAAACGGCTTCGACGATTTCCTTCAAATGTTATAAACTATTTATATCTGGCCTAAAACGTAAATGCCAACAAAAATCTTATTACATAACAAAATACAATTTAAAGTAAACATTTTTAATATGGGCCTTATGGGTTGCTAAGTAACCGTGTTGGTTGAACCAAATAACAAGGAAAAAGTAAACAAAAGACTTTATTGTAACATGTGTTTATATTAAGCCATCCACAGTATACTAGCAAACTACAAAATACAGGACAAAAGGAAAAAAATTATAGAATTCAGGTTTTGGATGGATATAATATGTACACTAAAGTAGGTATGATAAATTACTAAAACTTAGCAGTTTAAGGGGAAGGTACTCGGTTCCCCCACCACTTTGTTTGCTTAATGCAAATAAACTGATCAGCTGTTGGCTGTTATTTCAAAGTTTAGTGTGAGATGGAGGAGATGGAATCGCTTTCCCTCAAACAGCCTACATTTTGTTAACAGAGTATAGTAAGTTTAATGAGTTATTGTACCAAGTGCTGTACATACAGGTATGGTACGTGTAAATCTACCTGAAAATGGTTGCTATGGAACCAAAGTACTGATTCAATAATACCCAATCCATACCAAAACTGGCTACCTACCCAGTTGGTACAAAACTCAGATTTGAATGGAGATATATCTTGATCCTTACAAACGTTTATATTATTCAACATGATTAATTTATCTTGTATTTTCAGCAACAGCTATGAACAACCTTATGAGCAACAACTGGGAGATTATATTTCAAGAGTTGAAGCCGGTGATTGACCAAACTGTAGAGGAACTTATAAAAGACACAGCTGTAAAACTCTTTAACTACTACAGCCTGGATGAGCTATTTCCAAAATGATTGTGATAGTAGTTTTAACTGTTGTGGAAACATATTATGTTACTAAAATGTATGTTAAACCTCTTACTGTATATGGGCAAATGAATTAAAATTAAAGTAATTAAATTGAGTTTGGAATATTTTTAATTACCTTCCACAATTTAATAGATAGAATAATATATTTATATTATTCTATCTACGTAATATTTCGTAGGAGGAAGTACTGATACAGTGTTTCTATAAGCTGCTTTAAAAATACCAGCTGATTTAAACATTGCGTATTTGTTTGTTTGTCGATTTTAGTGTTCTGGTTTTAGGTTAGAATAGTAATGCATTGTTGGAAGACCGTGACATAGGAAGGAGAGTATTTAGGAATGGTATCCAGCTTAGGGAATGGTTAAGGCCAAACAAATTACAAGGAGGCGAAGGGCAGCAATTGCTGCTATGGGCCTCTTGTGAATATATCTAGCATTGGGTATATTTCAGCGGAAATCCCATCTGCTATGGGAATTGTTTAGTCTGCAAGTTTGCTGTGGCGGGGGTATTGTTATATCGTACAGGTTTTACTAGTTGGTTTTAGTTATAAATAACAATAAAATCGTCATATCCAAATTCAATGATCACACTGGTTTACAATCATTATTGTAGCCCATAAACTAGTTGTTTTTTAACTATGGTATAATGTATTCGATAGTCTGACCACTACACGTACAGTAAGAAAAAAGGTTAAACATGTTTGGAATAATGTTAGATTTGCGTATACATTATTTTAATTCGCCCTGTTTTGGTTCCTACAGTTTATTTAATATTTCTATTTGTATTAGCTTAATGTACAATCACTTCTCATTGTGAACAAAGGTATGTAAAATTAATTGTATTTATTCATTTCTGTATAAAAAGATTGTTGATTGCCGGTGTAAAATTGTATTTGTAAATAATTATTAAATTGTTCCCTAGTATAAAATAGTTTTTACTAATCAGGCCAGTGACATGATTTGTTTATGTTTATGATCCACCATCTATCTTTATGCATGTAGTCATAAATAAGTTGATAATCTATCAGTACTCAAAGGTTGTTAATTGTAGCCATGAAAACCTTTAAGGGTGCGCTCCACCCCTGACGCGCAACCGAATGCAAGGGTTTGCAAGATTACTGTTTTCACCTGCTACAGTCAATGATTGAAGGTAGAATCAAAGTTAAGGTCTCATATTAAAGAGGATGAAATTTTCTATAGTTCTGCGTTTCATTATTTCATTTATTTTTAATACACACCTTATAAACTTGATTTGTAGGACAAGAAAAAAGGTCTTTTCAACTAGCCCTAACTTATTGAAAAAACGTTATTTGAAAATCTGAAAAACGCAACTATAGATTGGTATTTGCACTACTATAAGTTGTTTATAGTGCGTAGCTATCATCTATATATTAATTTGAAACTGTTTTTCTTTGTGACAGCTATTTTGAGAGAACGGCTGGGCGTAGAAACTCGGTAGAGGTGTCTAAAGAAAGGTCCTGGTCTGTAGATGAGCCATCAAAAGAGAAACATGGAGAATTCCCTCGGGGCTCTGCCCCAGTGGCCTTTAAAGTCCCATCCCATGTTATTCTTATGGAGGAAAACGAGGGTTTTGTCAAAGCTAATTTGAGAGAACGGCTGGGCGTAGGAACTTGGTAGGGGTGTCTAAAGAAAGGTATTGGTCTGTAGGTGAGCCCTCAAAAGAGAAACGCGGTAAATTTCCTTGGGGCTCTGTCCCAGAGGCATTTAAAGTTCACTCTGCAATTTTGTTTACATTACGACCATATGGATAATTTTACACTACTTTAATGAAGCAGCTGTTAATATTAAAATTGTATTCAAAGGTCTACTGAAACTGTCAAAATTAAATGTTTACATTATTATTTATGATTTTAAATGGATTCTCCACTGCATGGCAAGTTTTTTATAGTTTCAACAAAATGATGAATTTATGATACGTTTTAAATGTGTTGTTCAAAAATCTATGCTTTATTGCTCTCAGAAATTTTTAAATTATGAAATAATTGTGATATATCAATTTCAAAAGAACATATAATTATTCCTTATCTGTTTAGCTTATATGTATATATTGTAAGGTTGACACTTGCCTTTTTTTCCTACTTTCAATCACCATTTATTTTTAAATTCAAGAAAGAACACCAGATATTCATTTATTGGTATAAAAGTTTTTGATAATCGGGTTGAAAATTGTGTCATAGATGAGTACGTTGAGGATGAGAGCTGTGTTTAAGTTTTGGAATAGACTAACTACGGAGTATGTTTCATCTATGGTTTTGGTGAAGTAGGTGAACTAATGTCAATTCAGGTATTTAAAAAAATGTGTACACGGTTTTTACTTTGATGTACACATGTAGCTAGGTCGAACAACGCATCTAAACCTCACTACATACAAAACATTCGGAAACACAACAGTGTCATCACATCTCATCGCATTTGTATAATTTGTTACCAAGGCTGGACTAGGTTATGGATTTGGTTCCGCAAATGTTCAAGATTTGTGATAAAATTTCCTACAATTATGGTTCATTCCATCCACGAAATACATGCACAGCTTTATGTGATCGATATGGCCAAGGCAAAACTACCCCATAAGTTAATGAATTATCAAGTAAGAACAGGATGATTAAATACATGGGTCGATGTGGCAAGAGAACGAATTAAAATTGCTGAGATCGAAGTATGAATGTTACTGCTTTCTGGAGAATCAGATATTTTCATCAAATACAAAAAAAAACTGATTTAATATGCTGATAGAATTCTGTATTTTCATGACCAAAGATGAAGATTTACTTATAAATCCGGATACAATCTTAATGATTTTCCTAAAGCAGATGGAATTAGTGGTTAGAAATAAATATTGACTCTTTCCGTAACATGATAGACTAATTATATTAACTCATTCTCCCATATAGTGAAAGTGGCTTTGGCATGAAACAAACTCATGAACAAACAATTATAAGACTCCTAAAAAACCTTTTGAGCAACCTAAAGCCGATAAAAGGTAGGGAATATTGTGTTAAACGAATTCATCAATCACGTTTTTAGGGAACACAATCGTCATACTTATTATTGCTTATCCTCCCTTCATTTAACTAAGATTTTAATGACTTCACTCTATCAATCACAGTTAGCTGAATTTACATAAAACCTCAAGATTAACCGTCGATTTCGACGGGGTTCCACTAGTTATTGGTTAATTCGAAAACGGTAACCTTGGAAACCTCTGCAAGCGCTTCTCGCGGCACTGTCCAATGGTGCAACATAGCAAGGAAGCCCGAGCTGAGATTTCCGAGCTGAGGTAGAGCGCAGCAGTGCACCCTTAATAAACTAGTGAATCTATATAAATAAAATTAGAGTTTTGTCTGTACATTGCTTAGAATCATGCAGTTTTTGGTTATTTTTACGTTTCATAGCCTAAGAAAGCCGAAACGAGTCTTATCTCAATTTCTGTCTGTATGTCTGTCTGTCCATTCTGTGACTCGGTCTGTAACGCCAAAATGTCATTTTACGCGGCCTACTCCTAGAAAACTAGAGTACCGATCACGGTTCTAGTCATTTTTCTGTATTTAATGGATTGGTAAGAGTGTCTTTGGCTATAAAAACATGGCCTCGCTTCTTTGAAAACAAAATAACAAACCACCGAAAACCCAATTTTGTTCGATTTTTGTCAAATTTTCTCCCAATGTTTACTATTACAGTTTATGAAATATCAATCAGCTGTTTGGATTAGTTCTCACTTCTAGCTGTCAGTGATATGCTTACATTCAAAGTTGTTTACAAATACCGCAACCATTTCCGATAAAGTTTTGTTAGCACATCCAAACCAAGTGAGATTAAAAACGTTGTGCCTTACTTAACCGCTTTAACTAGTAGTACGCTTGTTCTGCGCGTAACGGGATGAGTGAACATGAGCGCAATAATGAAAGAGTCCACCCACACCTAGCATACTTACCGGTGTCACTGGTGAACACAAAAATGTTATTTGTATCGGCAAATCAACCCATGAGTCGGGGCAAATAATGGTGAGTCGGTTGCTCAGTCGGTAGCGTCACGCGGACTTCGGGCCCAAGGCAGCGATGTCGTGGGTTCGGATCCTAGTCACAGCCACTAAATTTCAGTTCACCTTTGTCCTGTACCGGCTCACCCCTTGCTTTGCTGTAAACGATCCACGCACGGGCGCTTAGTCTATGTGGACAGGCAAATGCAAGGTTAAAAGAGGCTGCCAGTGCCAACCTCTTAAAAAAAACCAAATCTCAGTCAACAAAAATCCTAACTTCTCGTCCATTAATTAACCAAAGTCATTGGTAATATACGTAATGTATTTCCTGTTTCTCTCTCTTCTCATAGCATTTTATTATTGCAGATACATCAATCTAACTGTCAAAGAGTTCCCATCACAAAGAGTTAATCACAAAGAGTTCCCACACTCTGGACTGTTCACCTTGACTACTTCCTTCACCACTTCCTACTCGTGGACCTGTTTCCCTCTCTGCTCATAGCATTTTAGTATTGCAGATACATTAATCTAACTGTCACAAAGGGTTCCCACACTCCGGACTCCTCGCCTTGACTACTCCCTTCACCACTTCCTACGTCGTGGACCTGTTTCCCTCCCTTCCCATGGCATTTTTAGAATTGCAGACACTGAACATTATTCTAATCATCACTGAGGGTTTCTACACTCCGGAATGCTCGCCTGGACTACTTCCTTCACCACTTCCTACGTCGTAGACCTGTTTCCCTCCCTTCCCATAGCATTTTAGTATTGCAGTTACACTAATCTAACTGTCACAAAGGGTTTCTACACTCCAGAATGCTCGCCTCGACTACTTCCATTACCACTTCCTACGTCGTGGACCTGTTTCCCTTCCTTCCTATAGCATTTTAGTATTGTAGGTATATTAATCTAACTGTCACAAAGGGTTTCTACACTCCGGACTGCTCGCCTCGACTACTTCCATCACCGCTTCCTACGTCGTGGACCTGTTTCCCTCCCTTCCCATAACATTATAGAATTGTAGTTACATTAATCTAAC